TAATAGTGATTTAAAATAAAAGCTAGTATGAGTAAAAATTTAACTTTACATATTCTCGAAAATTTAGAAAAACTGCATCAAAGCAAAATGAATTACAGTTGAGAAAAATCTAAAAATTCATCCTATGTTCTTATCTAAAAAATCTCACATAAATCAAAAAATCATGCCAAAACTTTTCAATTATTTTTAAATAAGTCACTATGGACTGATAATATTTTGTTTGCAGCCTACTATAGGGGCCATACCACCTCTCAAGCTTTAAGCTCTTTACCGATAAGTGTCAGTCTGAAAATGAACTTAAAATGATGGCACCCAATAATGTGTGACTTCCTTCAATTCCTTTGTTTCTATGCTACAAAGATAAACACTCTCTCTCTCTGTGTATATAATTGTTTTTTTTTGTGGTGCTGAGGTTTGAACTCAGGACCTCATGCTTGCTAATCAGGAGCTCTACCACTTGAGCCACTTGATCAGCTCCAAGATAAGCAACATATTTAAAGATGAAATTTGCTTGAATATATATATATATATATATATGATCAAAAATTGAGTTCTTTTCCAAATTAAATAATCATCTAATAACATTAAGTACTCCTTTATCATTTTTTAAAGTCTCTTCATATTAGTGAGCTACATTACTGAAACAGGCAAGTTTCAGTAAACATATAATAAAGCTTTCTCTGTTTAAAAAAAAAGAAAAAGAAAAAAGCATACTGTAAGTCAGGCATGTGGTACATGCCCATCATCTCAACTACTCCACAAGATTTTTTTTTTTCTTTTTTTGTGATACTGGTGCTTGAACTCAAAAGACTACACCTCAAGCCGTTCTGCTAGCTCTTTTTTGTGGTGGGTTTATTTGAGATAGGGTCTTACAAATTATTTGCTTGGGCTGGCTTTGAACTGAGATCCTCCTGATCTCTGCCTCCTGAGTAGCTGGGATTACAGGCATGAGCCACCAGTGTCTGGCTCAGGAGGGTCATGGCCAGTTCAGGCAAAGTTAGTGAGATCCTATCTCAAAAAAGCAAAATAAAAACAAAAGGAGTGGGGGCATATAGCTCAAATGGTAGAGTACTCGCCTAACAAGCACAAGGCCCTGGGTTCAATCCTCACTACTGCAAACAATGACAACAAAATAAAATTATTCAAAAGGAGGGAAGTGAGATGAGAGCACAAATTACCTAAATATAAAAAAAATCCACATATAACATTCTAAAAGCTATACAACATATTCTAAAATAAGGGACATTTAACAGATAAATTCCGTTGAGCCACTGGTGGCTCGCCCCTGTAATTCTAGATATTCAGGAGGTAGAGATCAGGAGAATCACATTTCAAAGCCAGCCCAGGCAAACAGTTGGAGAGACCCTATTTTGAGAAAACCCTTCACAAAAAGGGCTGGTGGACTGGCTCAAGATGTAGGCCAGCCCTGAGTTCAAACCCCAGTAGTGAAAAAAAACCAAAAACTGTAATTAGCACCTAATGTACCACTAATAGATTATATACTGATATATATTCATTCTAGCCCAGGATCATTTTCTATTGCCAAGTTGTGACTCTCTTCAGAATTCTAGAGGAAACAAATCTGTTGATTCTATCCATGATTTTTTTTTTTTTTTGGCAGCTCTGGGGTTTGGAACTCAGGGCCTCAGGCTTGCTAGACAGGTACTCTTAACTGCTTGAGCCACTCCACCAGCCCTGTTGATTCTATCTATACAGTTACATACTGAGATATATTCAAATACTATACATGTAAAGAGACTGACAACCCTAAAACAAACAGCACATTTTATGAGGAATTGTCTGCCAATATTTTACCTTAAAATTGAGTACTAAAATAAAAAAAAGGGTGCAAATTACATCACAAGCATCCACTGGAAGCAAGGTATAACCTAGGCTACCGAGGGTAAGCTTTAATTATTACTATTATCTATCTGTATGTCAAGTAAGCAAAAGGCCATCTCAATACAAATAGCCTGCTAAAGATCCATAAAGCTAAAAGTATACAAGATAAAGGAGAAATAGTCAACAAAAATGACTAAACACTGGAAAATTCTGTACATTTTTTGCTTTTGCTTTTTATGGACTAGGTATGGAAATCTAGGAAAAATAGCTTAATGAGAACAGCTGATAGGCATTTTTAGTATTTTACAATGCTAAGAAATGTTAATGCTGAAAATAAAGGCTGATACCCAGTTTTCAAATTCAGAAGTCCTTCAGCATGTTTGGCTTTTCTCTTTAAAGACTTCATTTTCTAATGAATAATAGCAATGAATAAAGGCTACCATTATTGATGACTCTTCACTGAGATTTAAGAAATACAATTCTTTATCTGCTAATTGGTGCTAAGTATCAAGGACTTTATTGGCTGAAGTAGACAGAAGAAAGTGGTTAAGAGGCTTCAGAGAAACAACTCCTGCTGGCACATTACCCACTAGAGTAGACAAAGACTACTTATGTGAACTCCAGATGATAATCACCAAAAATGTCCCTTCATATAGCACCAAGTCCAAGCTCTATAACTAAATAGAAGCCAAACAACTTCACAGCCCAGCTAATAGAAGTATAGTTTGTACTTGTTGCTACAATTTTACAAGTCACTAAACTAGTGAAGGTGTCACTTAAACAATTTGTAACTTTTGACATAAACTAAATTTAGTAATTACTTCTTTATCTTCCAAGTTTCCAGTCCATTTAACAGTAGCAAAAGTCAGAGGAAATGATAATTCCACTCTATAAATGTGGAACTTTTTGAAAACAGTATGCTGCAGGGGGTGCAGCTCAGGGGTAGATGCTTGCCTAGCATTTGCAAGGCCCTGAATTTGATTTCCAGCACAGCAAAAAACAACAAGAAAAAACCCCCATAACCACAACATGCCTTCCCCTCTAGATTATTCATGTATTGGACCAATTCACTATTCTTGGGAAACTTTATATTCCTTGGATAAGGAAAACTACCATACTATATGAAAAAGGAAGAAACTGACAACAGGCCTATTAGTCTATTCGCTAGTTCCATTATTAACTAATTAGTTTTTGGTGTCTTTAAACAAATTGATAAAATCCTGAAACAGGAAATTTAAACAACTTAACATTGTAGTTCATGCTAAATATTAGTTTTAGAAACGAAAATGTCTCTAAACAATGCATGGTGGGGGCATACCTATATTACAAGCACCTGGGAGGCCGAGCAAGAGGATCCCAAGCCTGGTTTGCACAGCAAAACCCTATCTCAGCAAGGTGCTCACACCTATAATCCTAGCTACTCAGGAGGATCACAATTTGAAGCCAGCTACTAGGCAAATAGTTTGTGAGATCCTATCTTGAAAAAATCCATCACACAAACAGGCTGGCAGAGTGGCTTAAGTGGTAAGAGCACCTGTCTAGCAGGCATGAGACCCTTAGTTCAACCCCAGTGCCACCACTGCCAAAAATAAATAAATAAATAAAAACCCTACCTCAAAACCAATCAACCAGGCTGGGGTGTAGCTCAAGTGGTAGAGCACTTGCTTAGCATATGCAAGGCCCTGGGTTCAATCCCCAGTACTGGAAAAACAAAGAACAAAAAACAAATCAACCAACAAAAAAAATGTATTATTATTATTTGTGTCTGTGTGTGTGTGTGGTACTAGGTATCAAACCAGGGACTTGTGCATGCTAGGCAAGTGCCCTACCACTGAGCTATATCCCCAGCCCTGTATTCACAGTTTTATAGCATAAATTTTAATACCTAATTTTTATGTATATGTCTGCTGCAAGTAAGTAACCTAATGTGAAACTGGTGGGATCAGAAGTGTAGAAATGTTTCTGATTTGTCTTTCTGATTTTGGAATATTTACATAGACTTTACTAGTTGAACATCCCTAATCTGAAAATCTAAAATACTCCAGAACTGGTGGCTCACGCCTGTAATCCTAGCTACTTGGAAAACTGAGATTGAGGTTCCAGGCCCGCTTCCAAAATAGTGAGACCCCCATCTCCAAAATAACCAGAGCAAAATGGACTGGAGGTGCAGCTCAAGCGGTAGAGTACTTGCTTTGCAAGTTGGCACGCAAAAAGTTTTGGATTTTGGAACATTCTGTATTTCAGATTTTTAGATTAGGGATTCTCAACCTGTAAAGTATTTTTCATGAGGAAAAATAAGTGACTTTCAGTTTAATTAGCAACTTTATGAGCAACAAATCTGAAAGTTTACTAGGAGTAAGAAAATAGTGACAAGAGAAACATTCCTTGAGTTTGTTCTTCGGCAGTTCATAGGTTAAGATACTATCATCTGTAACTCACATCTAAAGATGGGAGTAGAGTTTCTTCCCCTCTCCTATGCATTCATTTCATAATACTACTATTTTTTTTTTTTTGAGACAGGGTCTTGATATACAGCTCAGGCTGACCTGATACTCACTACATAGCCTACACCGTCCTCAAACTCACGATACTCCTGCCTCTAACTTCCAAGTGCTGGGATTACAGGTGTGCCTATAATCCTACCACTAAGTACTAATTCTATGGTTGACTCATACTGAAAGATGGTTCCAAAACAAATAGGCCTATATTTCACTTTATCTACCACTGTTATGAAGGCATGAATTTTAGGACTATAAAACACACTTCAGGAAATGTATATTCTAAGAACTGTTTACCTTGATAAAGATTAGAAAATTCTGCCTCTACATGAAAATTAATGCATGGACACCCTCTAAATGATACAAGTGTTTGCCAAATAAACCTAACAAATAAGTTATGCCATACACGCAGTGCCTGACCAAGATTTCCTCAAATATATGTATGTAGTTCATCATCTTCAATTTGTTCAATTAAGCACTTCACAGTTAGGGATGCAATTCAATCCCTACAAAGTCTCATGATTTAAAATGTAACCTAAAGGCATCTTTAGACTGTCCTCAAAAGACCTGAGAAAGATGCTGCTGTCTTTTCGTCAAAAAGACAATCAGTAAAGAAGGCATTTTGAGAAAGGCTCTTTAATACCATCAAATTTTACATACCTGTAATATCAAGAACTGAAGGAGATGCAATGTAGTATCTATGAACTGTTTCAAGAAGTTGAGCACCATGGCCTTGACCTTGAAATGGAGTTAATATCAGCATCTGACTACAGTAAAGAAATTATTTTAAAATTAAAATATATCACAGCTAGTTAAAAATTATAAATCATTAGTATTATGACCATTTTAAAGTTTGCAGTTTTTTTCTCAATCAACCTTTGAAAAATCCAAAAATTACTGAGATACTCAAAACTGGTTTACTCTGCCACACTGTTTCAAAGAGAACAATGAAATAAATCAGGATACAGCCAATGAATAATGGTGATTTTTTTAAACAAATCAACACTATTATAACAAGTATTGGAAACTTCAGCAGTTCCTTCTGAAATAAAAGACAAGGCACGTGTTATACTGCCAATTACCTTACACGTGGCCGGGTTTTGTCTGGGTACACATAGTAATTATAGACTGTCATGTAGCCTACGGTCGCAAAGAGCGTAGCTCCATCCTTATTATACTTCTCAAATCTGCAGATAAAACAGAAAGCCAAGCAGGTCAATTACAGTCGCGCTCCCATGCAGTGTCCATTTTCTTTTCCATTCTCTGACTGAATTTTCAGTGTCAGCAAGCTACTCTGTGAGGGCCCAATGGGTACACCTGCTATGTTCTGAATGTACAATTCACTTAATTGGTGTGCAGCAACTTGGATAAATCAGACCTCTTTACATCACTTCAGTGCACTTGCCTATTATAAAGATGAATAGGTGGCAAGTAAAAGAAAACACAGGCAAAGCTCATTTTACTGTTTAAGCCTACATTCAGGGCCCTAACGGACAACAGCCATTTAATTCAGCTCTATTCTCAAGGTCTCCCAAAGCATAATGAAGGAAAACTCAAGCCTCATAAACAATAGTTTTTCTTTCCTGGGAAAAATATCATTATACTGTCCCAATAATTGGGCTGCCACAATTAAAATGCTGGCTTTGTGGAGGTAATAAGGTCTACTGTTGCTTTAGAACTGTACTTACACTAGAAAGTAGTGCCATCTTTCATCATCCACGTCAATAAAGCTAGCAGTTTCAATAAACCACATCAAAAAGGTCTGAAGCCTTTCATGATATTCTCGAAAGCCTCTACATGTCATGTCAGCCTAGGGAAAAAGCCAGGAAAAGTCAGGTGAAACTCATCACAGAGGTAAGTGAAAGTCTTCAGAACGCAAAACTATCGTGTGGGAAAATGTTTACAAGTCTCAAATTAAATGTGTATAGACATATATGAAAAACAGATGTTTTTAATGCTGACAAAAACTTACTTCCTAAAGCTAGAATCGCTAAAAATAATAAAATTGCATACAGGTTTCAGGGAAATGGAATAACTTTACTGAAGAAATATTTAGATTTTTCTTTACCTTATATATCTGAAAAGTAAAGTTTTCTCCTCCTGTTGGACTGAGAACTGAGTATGTATGGAGTAAGGTTCCAAACGGCTTGAAATCAACTTCCTTTTCCAGCAGAGAAAGAAAATCATTCGTGTTTGTGCAAAACCCAGGTGGAATGATTTGTCTTATTTTACCTTCAACATCATCCGCCTAAGGAATGGAGGATAATTAGTAAAAATTAACAAACTTGATTTTTAGTTCAGTATATTTAATTTCTTTGACATGGAAAAAGCCAAAAAAATATCATAAAACTTCAGTTTACAACTAAAGAAGTAAACACGAGTTTTGTGGGCACAAAGTACTGTCACATAAATTTGAGATGAGCATAACACAAAAATAAGTTAGAAAGGCAAGGAGCCTAATAACATGTACAAGAAAATGGCAGTGCCATTGAAATTTCTAGCACAGTGTAGAAAATGTTGCTACTTCCCATCATAACAATCTGAATTGGCCAAAACAAAAAGCTGCTTATTATTTCATGTGTGTCAAAGGGAACATATTATCCAACATGAAAAGATCACCAGCAGTAGTGAGGTAAGGCTAGAGTCTGACCAAATGAATAGCAACATCACAATGAACAAGTAGATGCATAACAACTCCCTCATAGGCCAAACTAAGATAATTTAAAAATATCCTTACTTAGGGAATATACAAATTATATGAATGGATATATTATCCACTCATCCCTATAGTGTGACAATTTTTATAGACCTGGATTTGTAATAGTATAAAAGAGACAAGACTGAACAACAAAATTAAACTCAGAGATTAAAATTACCCTTGCTAAACAACCTCGATGAATGTTAAAACTATCAGCTGAGCAGACTTCATAATCCTTTTCAAAACTCCAAAAGACCACTTGATTGAATACATTTACTACTTCTCTTTAACCATGAATATTTGATGAAGTCTCACAATAAAGTATTACTGCTTCTCACCAGGCAATAAAACTTAATGAATTGGTCTCAACTTAACAAAACCTTATCCCTCAATACAGTCCCTAAAAGCCTGACATTACATTCAACAAAATGAGCTTGCATTCTATTCAAACTTTTTCCTGAACAATGAAGCCAGGTTTTTACTTAATGGAGTTTGCCGTGAGTTCAGCTGTAATGTTTGTATTGTATCTATTTCCACAAGGACTGACACAAGAACACTTTGTGTTAACTTACTAAGCAGCTCTTTCATACCGTTTACATGCATGATGGGTATTAGTTCTAAACCAAGACCCTTGCTACTTAGCATTCAAAACAGGGAAATTAAGATGCTTAGAACAAAATACACTACAAAAGGCTAATACAACATGCTACTAATTCCTATCCTTTCAACCATCTTTTAACTAAGTAGGAGCAATGCACCTGCAGATGAATAGCACTTTATTATCGTTCAGTTACATTTTAGGATAGAGAACCAAGAATGGAGTATATCACAAACAAGTTTTATTTTCAATGCTTTGGTACTACCAACATTTGTATGTAATTTGTTTATAGCTATTACTTAAAATATAGCTCTTAAACATTCTGCCCAACAGTTTATTTTTAGTATGTATACCAGTACTTACAATCCAGTCACCCTCAAGATCAAATAAACTGCATCTGAGAGAACTATTTTTACAAATACGTAGTATTGGATGAATATTTCTTCTTGAAACTGCTTGTGAGGAGATCGCTTTTAGCGTATTCTCAATAATAACTACATGAGGAAGTTGTTATAATCAGGGATGCTTGCAATAGATTTGTGGTATAGCAATTGAAATCCAAAGTGGTAATGCATAAAGTAGTATAGTGTAATAATATAGTAGTTCAGGCTTTTAAAAATGTCAAGAAAAACTTTTAAACAAAGAAACTAATAATGTATCAGTTGTTTTTAAATCAAGACACTCATAACATATCCAATTTTAACCTCTAATAATTTTCCTTATGTACATCTTCTAAACAAAGCACAGCAAAGCATGATCAATACACTTCAACTACTCTGCATCAAATCTAACTTCAAAGATTTCTCAGAAACTGTAAGTCTCAAGTAGGTAGTTCTGGTGGAAGGCAGAGGGCTACCCAAAGGTCTGAGCTCAACAAAGTTGAAAGAGCTAATATTTAACTTTCAGACTTCAAAGGATACTTATTATTTGTAATAAATACCTTTAAATAAAATATTTTGCTCTGGGCAAGTCTATATGCTATTTTAAGAACTTTTATTGGGGGAAAAGGCTAAGTTTAAAAGCAAGAAATCTGTTTATAAATATGCAAATATATTTGTATGTGCATCTGATTTATTTACATAAAACACAACCTGAAATCAATAGCTCTTTAAGCCTAGAATTCAGAAGTTTATTTTACTAAAAAAAAAGAGTGTACATTTCTCTATTAAATGGACTTTTTAAAAAAACAAATCTTTTTTTTTTTATTTTATTATTCATATGTGCATACAAGGCTTGGGTCATGGGTCATTTCTCCCCCCTGCCCCCACCTCCTCCCTTACCACCCACTCCGCCCCCTCCCTCTCCCCCCCCCACCCCCTCAATCCCCTCAATACCCAGCAGATACCATTTTGCCCTTATTTCTAATTTTGTTGTAGAGAGAGTATAGCAATAATAGAAAGGAACAAGGGTTTTTGCTGGTTGAGATAAGAATAGCTATACAGGGCATGGACTCACATTATTTCCTGTGCGTGTGTGTTACCTTCTAGGTTAATTCTTTTTGATCTAACCTTTTCTCTAGTTCCTGGTCCCCTTTTCCTATTGGC